GTAACGCCCTTTCGTTTGCACTTCTGCACTTTCTTTTAAAGTAAAAATGTAGCGCCTGAGTTATTGTTGTCCAATGGCAGAGCTTCTTAAACACTGTAAGCGTAACTCGAAGCGGTGTTGATTGAAATCACAAATGCGCTCTCCTGTCGTGTGTCGCCAAGCGGCATTTCGCTGCCGATCGTTGGTGTTTGTTTTGACGGGAACGGGAATGTAACTGGATGTTCGAGTTGAGCGACCTCGAAATAGCCCTACCTAAGCTTAACCCCCTATTTGACCTCGGTATCGGCCGTCGTTGCGTCGCAGGTGGCCTCAGTGATATCCCAGCGAGGCGTTGTGACCTCAGCACTAGCCTAGCGCGCTTCCCAATTTGTACCCCGGTACCAACACGAGCGTACAGATATCAGTGCGATTGCGTTACTATCTTCGGCAAAGGGCGGCCTCAGCCGAACACCCCGGGCGGGTTCCGGCGTCGCCAGGACGCTGGAACCCCACCTTTTCCGGCTATTCCATAAACAGACGGTCGGCCGTCAGATAAACAGAGCCATGGTCGCCGCGTGTTAAGGTCACCGTCCTCTGCACCCCAGAGATGTAGGGCCGTGTCAGTGATGCTCCGGCCCAGCCGAGTTACGCTGGATTACGCTGGATTACGCTGGATTACGCTGCGCTTGCGGCGGACTGGACCGCAACGGGATAGCCCGCAGTCTAAAAACAGGACTTAGAGCATTAGAGTAATATTTGAAACTTGAAAAGCTGTCGTAAAATTGCGATTCTGACCCAGCACTTGGATATCGCCGGCATAAAGGGGGTTGGTACAATCCATTGAGGGGTTTGAACATCTCCCGAACCGTTCATTCAACCGCATCTCCCGAACCGTTCATTACATTGTCATGAAATCTGGAATGGCTTGGTTTTATTCTCGCATGCACCTGAGCTGAGAATTCCCGGTACCTGCCTTGGCTGGACACTGACCTATGGCCGCACCCTTTGACCTCGCTTGCATAACTCTGTGGCGAACATAAGGCAAATGTTGATTTGTTAATCGTTCTCAACTTGGTGCGCATCAGATGTGCTCACGTAAGGTTTTGAAGATGTGAAGTGGTCATGTATGGAAGAGATAAATTACCGTCACCTTTCCCCAAGACCATTTGAGGTCATGGCCAGAGTAAGTGAGATCTTCTAAGCAGAGAAGACCTAAGATATAATCAAACTTGCCATAAGATGCTAACATAGCATCTAAAAGGATCTAAATGACGTCAAGTTAGTCTCACCAAAGCGGCTCTGGTGTGAATGATGATATCTGGGTCATTAAGATTCGGCTCATTGCAAGTAATTCTAAAGTTTTCATTTGCGTCTTCCACAAACACCAAATAATGATTGATTGACTTTTCACAATGTGAAAATGCCAAAAAGTGCATGTGGATCTTAAGAGAAAAGTTATTCTGAGTTAACTTCATGTGAAGTCGTAAAATGAACTAAGTTACCAAAAACCCTAAAATCGACATTCAGTACCACTTGTCGTAAACAGTAGAATGTTTTGACCTGCATCAGCTTGCCTCCGCTTCGAGTCACGTTGAACGACAAAATACCTGGATTTGGGCCGTTTGAGCGGATCTGACCGATCACCGATGTCCAGAGGCACCGTTAGCGATGGGGAGAACAGCACCGATAGCATGTCTAGTGAGAACTGGTGTATACGGGAACCGGAAGAGGCACAACACCATGACCAGTGTAACAGAGGTGAGTCACGATTTATGGGCGCTGCACGACCTTCAGCAGTCGGTGCGCGCTAAAACCCCAAATCATCATCACGAGCCACGAGCAGGCTGTCGTCCTGTTTTTTTTTGTGCCTGAAAATCGGGTAAGGAATTGGCAAAGGAGTAAATAACCTGTCCCATCAAGCCCCGCGCATGCTGATTTACACATCGTGGTGTCTAGATTGCCACAGCATGTGCCAATGTCATATTGACGGAGCGTTAGTCTACCGATTATACCGAGTACCGAGTGCCAGCGCGCATGGAAGGAAAAACCAAATACGTTTAGTCACTGATCCACGACGAGCAAAAACTGTTCACTAAAAGGAAATTTTCACGCAACAGATCTGGACGAGTGAATCCTAAAATAATCCCAATTTTTCACTTCGTCCTTGACCGTAAAGTAATAAACTGAAGCATTCACAAACGAGGCGCCACTCCAGCGCATCCGCTTCCCATAGAACCCGTGTTTGGACCCATTTTCCAAAATCATTACAACGCCAAGACCAAGCTCCCATGAAAGATGAATGAAAAGTGAAATAGTTGAATAAGTCGCAGCTTTTGCATGCCTCTAACTAGTTAGCAATTTCGCTGTCCGACCAAGCTCTCAAACAGGGAGAACGCCGTTATTCCCGCCTCACTAAGCTATGTGCGCAGTGAAATCAATCTATGCTGCACATTCGCCATCAACCTGACGAACTTTCGATCTGCGGAATGATATTTGGTCTCTTGGCAGACCGGTAGCATATGGAAAACCGACACACACAGCTGGTCAGCATCATACGGTTTCCGCACCAAATAATTTACAAAGGTTGACCACCCATCTGATAAGGTCGGAGAACTAATGAAACAATTCACTTTCGACACGCGAGCCACTTAATATCCGTCTGAGATTTGTACAGATAGCACTTGACGCTTGAGGCGAATTACCTCTGGCGCGGGCGCACGTGACCTGTTCCGGAGTGCCGGCGGCGGTCTCACAGCCGGTATTCCGCGCTTGGCTCGGCTGTAGCTGGTTTCCGTCACGCCAATGTCACGTTGCTTTCCAGCCCGGGCTATTAGCGTGTCCCCTTCGCAGTCGCTACTGACACATGATCTCACCTAAAATTACGCCGCCTATAAATACCGGCGGACGGGGTGGCACGAGATGCGAGTCTGAGTGCGCCGGTCATGCGCGTACTCGACCGCCGGCGGGTTTTGTTCAGCTCTCATGGCGAGCGCGACCAGGGTTTGGATAGTGGGGGAGGGGAGCTTTTCTAGCATTGAAGAGAAGGATAGGTACAGAAGAGCAAGAAGTTTCACAGGTTTTTTAGGCGCGTAAAAGTTTATTTCAATCATTCAGACTACCGTGAAGATGGACGTTGCAATCAACAGCACCCGTCTGAGATGTCTGTCGTTTTTTAAAATTCATGATCGCCTTTTTAGTACTGAGTCACATTTATCCTCTATTAGACAAAGCTTCGCCAGTTGTGCGTGCTGCAGCGACAGCAGCGTTTTGGCTGCTCAGCTCTTGACCGCTGAAGGAGAATACAAATCAAGAAGAGATCGCTTCCATACCGATGAGAAAGCAATCCCAGCTCTTTAACGTTACAATGTATTCAACACACACACACACACACACACACACACACACACACACACACATATATATATATATATATATATATATATATATATATATATATATATATATATATATATATATGTATGTATGTATATTTAAACTTATGCATACATAAGAATATTGAGTACACATAATAAAGAGTAATGCATACACAGATCGGAGTGTTATTGCAGGAAGCTGGTAAGTGGTGTATCAACCAAGTTCAGATGTCTGCGGATGGTCACAACAGGTCATGACCGATTTAAACCTTGTCACAATTTTGGTCAGAAATAATGTACAATGGTTTTTAAGAACACCAGCTTCCGGCAACTTATGGAGAACTTACGCAAGGCATATGATTTTTTTGTCGTTGGAAGGTGTAATCTAAGACAGCGCTGGAATTCCTGTCCGAGTGATGGCTATATGTTCACCAGACATTCCCCTATCATTTTAGTTCAGTCTGAGCTCTCTGGGACGCCTTTGTGGAGAGCTGAGGGGAGGTCACCACTCACAAGCGTGATAATGCTAGCTTTATACGACGCTTTGTCAAAACGTCCAAGTCGTCCGAAGAGGTTGTCGTGGCTGAAGTGATGCGTGGCGTAATTGTAACATTGCCACTACTTACTTCACGTAACAAAACACTTGCCGCTGCTGCGGTCGCATACACCATTCACGTGCTAATCAGGAACACCTACCTCGCCACAGGCGATGCTGATGCGGCTGAGAGCGCGGGTCACTTCAAGCGAGACTGGTGTCACGTTACATACGTGCTAATAGTCGTCGAATCACTAGGCACGATACTCATTGGCGGTGTGACTCGTCCAGGTCGTTGGTGACACCATGGCCTTTTCATGGCTACGTAGCCGTTTAACAACATAGCCACAAGCATGTTCTATAACGCAATAATGCAATTATAAACATAATGCTCTAACTTTTAAAAAATTATAGAAAACTACTGCAGAAACGGAGCCGGTGCGCGCGCGCCCACACACACACACACACACACACACACACACACACACACACACACAGACACACACACACACACACACACACACACACACACACACACACACACACACACACACACACACACACACACACACACACACACACACACACACACACACACACACACACACACACACACACACACACACACACACACACACACACACACACACACACACACACACACACACACACATACGTCCATTCACAAGCGTTACAGCTGTCATGTGAGGGTTGCGGCGGCAGTATCTGGGTTTTGGTGTTGCATCTGGTTATTGAGAACAAAGCTTGTTTTCGCACGTCATTGCATACATGAAGCTAGCTTATTGCAGCTGAGATTGATGGCATTCATACCGACCTACAGGTAATCATGTAACAGCCAAAAATGAATATGCCCCATACCATGTTTCCATACCGTGTATTGATCAGTCCTGCCGTGGCCCGAAGCTAGAATTAAGTCCATGTTTCTCTCGTATCTGGATTTAAGGAAAACTAAACCTCTTGTGGCGAAAATTGGCACAAGCAGCTAAAGTCCGCCCACTAGTGACGGCTAGATGGCACATGCTCATGCCCTGCTTCGGAGACCGGTTCAGCGCCAGCAATGTAGCGGCTAGTATTGGTGGCAATGCTCTCACCAGCTTCCTCGCAGGTCGGTGTAGGCAGCCACGCTGAACCCGAACATGGTGCGCTCCTGGCCGCGGTACACCACCCAGCCCTCCATGTCCACGTTGTAGGCGCGCACACAGAGTGCCAGGCCGAGAAGCCGGCACGCCGCCAGGACCGCCGCCATCGGGCCTGACCTGGCCCGACCCGATCGCCCTCAGGGCAGCACCGGACCCCCGCGTACACGCCGACGCGCCAGCCAACGCCGCTCCTCCCTCAGCGCCCTCCTGGCACGCACTGTTTACACAGTGGGTGAGACGTCTGCACGTGGTCCTCAGACAGGCAGCGCATGGAGTTACTTCAAAGCTGCTGCCATCTATAGTTGGCTTCCTCGGAGCTGCTGCCCTCTCTGTTCCTCTAGAGACACTTTTGTTAACGTGTAAAGTGCTGCTTCTTTAAAACAGTAAAAATATTGTGGTAGGCCAGAATGTAATACATGTTTTGATCATACATCCATATATATATATATATATATATATATATATATATATATATATATATATATATATATATATATATATATATATATATATATATATATATATATATACAACGTTATATTCAGTATTCACAATGTTTTTCAGTTGTGTTTAGCTAATTTATAATAAGTATATATATATATATATATATATATATATATATATATATATATATATATATATATATATATATGTATATGTTGTATTTAGCTATTTTATACATATGTCTATATATGAATATATTAAAAGTGATTTATTATTATGATTGTCATGTATATTTGACTTTGACAAACAAAGCTCACTCAAAGTTACGTATTTTGCAACAAACTCGTCCCATTTGTAATCCATGCACGCAGTCGCACTCTTTCAGTTAAATACGGCTTGCTCGAGTAGGACAAATTTCAACGACGAAATAATGTGCATGCCTATTCTCATCAACATACCGGAGAATTATCTTCAAAAAAATTATCATTCGTTAATGATCACCCACATCTGCCTGATATTTTGTTTAGCTTTTTAAGACGTAAGGGAGGAAGGGGTATCACTGACCACCTTCCTTCCGCCTCACAACCTGATGGCATTTGAGGTGCGGGTGTCAGGAAGGTGATTCGCTTGCAGCCTCGTATCCATTTTCTTAATATTTTCTTCAAGAGTGGTCAAGAGCGGGTAAAAATTGGTTACATTTTCGAGCAGTTGGGAAAAAGATGTCATGCTGTGGGGAAGCACCGACCGCGGGGTTACAGCGCCCTTTGTTTCTCCGTGCAGTCTGTAGGAGTGTAGCAATGGTAACGGTCGCCTAACTGACATGTTTAGAATCACCAAATTTCCAGGAAGAGTAGCCTGTGCATGTTACATCGTGTAAAAATTGTACAGATGACTCTACGTCATGGCCGTCCGAGTCGAAATGGGTGAAATGCCTCGAAACGCACTATTTTCCAGGTATGCTCTTTTTTCTCCGGGTTCAAAATCTGAAATTTCTGGCGATAGCAGAGTTAGTACTGTAATATTTGATGTGAATATCCTGAGAGTTTAAGTACACTAAAGTTGTCACACCTCCGGAGCACGCTCACCTCTAACAACTGTTCCACGGCTAATCAACAACAATTTATCCTATCCTTCACACGCCGAAGACTTCTGATTTATTTCTCCTTCATCTTGCATGTCATCGTAGCGTGAACAAACCCTGTGCTGTATGTTTCATGTGGCTAACGATTGCATCCGCTAGAAAGAAGCCGCACCTCATCCTTCCCGGTCACACCTTCTGAGCAGTGCATACAGATGTCATCTGCACCGAGAACGTTTTCCAGTGGCCTTTCTTCCCGCTCTTTCTTTCTCACTCTTCTTTTGCTTTGTTCTATTTTTACAAGGTGTCGAGCGCTTTTCGCTTGGGCCTTCTCTTCCCGTCGTCTTTTTCCATGGAAGCTGGTCATCACGAGGGATGTACCTCTCCGTTTCCGACCACTTTTATCTTTTTGGGGCACGAGAACTGTTGGAAGAGGGATTATGCCATCTGTTGAACCCTTGGATGACGGTGTAGCCGGGGTGCCGTGCTGTGCCGGTGCCACCGAGGTGCCGTGCTGCGGCTACACCACCAAAAATCGAAGCAATGAAAGGAAAATGGAAGCATAGAAAGGTAATACAAACTTCGTGTCGCTCCACTCGGGAGCTTTAGCCCTGGAAACGTTAAGATGAATGACTTTGTAACCCCCAGCTGAAATAAAAACCATCCCACCAAAAGTGTTAAACAGACAAATTTTTCACAGATATAATGATACTGTATTAAAACAGAACTATAAAATGAAATTTACTACAGTTTTCCTTTCACTGGTCACTCTAGCACGGCGATAGAAACAAAAATATTATGGAATAACGCCTTCATGCAAGTCACTTAGCTACAAACTGTTGCAAGATGCACAATTAACAGACAAGGTAGGCAACATTACAGGACCGTATCTATTTTCGCCTTAAAGGCCATGCAAAAATCCGACGGTGCAAGTGGCGATGATACGCGATGGCATTAACGAAGGCGTACGAAAACAGTAGTCGTACCTAGGATATTAAGAGTCGTATCGTAACGCGTGGATCACGATTCAATGTCAGTTTTTACGTTTCCCATCAAAACCGTCTCATATCCATAGGTTGCAAGCATGTGATATTGAATGTACTCGGGGAGTATGGAAGAAAATTGCCGAACGGTGTTTTGGAGTCCTAGTAGCGCCGTAATCGTATTTTAGCACCGCAATGCAATGCTACTGATGTGAGGGTACATCATTACGATAGAAATGAAAACAAAGCCATTTGTGGCAATAGATACGAAGAATATATTTTCTCCCACAAAAAAGATTTGGTAGGATGAGGGGCGCATACTCAGCCTCCTCCCTCTCCCCCCCCCCTTTCACCCCGTTTCGCCGCCAATGGCTGCAGCACAACTAGTTAGTAGGCCAGGATTTGATGGACACTTTATTGTCAATAATTTATCATTTATATTTCCATCTACTCAGTCCTTTGTATCGTCCAAAGTCCATGGACAACGCGACCTGGGGTTGCCCCGCCCATGGTGGGGTAGCCCCGCGAAAACTACAGCAGAAAAGCTCAGATGGCGTTAGTACCGACCCGCCGGGTACAGTCTGTACCGCACAAACCCGGCGCAAATACAAACCCGGCGCAAACACCCACGAACCTCAGAGAAGGGGTCGTTTGGCATGAATCAACACTGCTTCGTCCACTTCCGTGAGCGAGAAGTGTTCCAATTTCAATATCACTTCATGCAAAAGTAAAGAATGCTATGTTTTAGCTCCACCATCCGATTAAATCACAACGTCCCGGTACCCCTTTTTTCCTCTTTTTTTCCTGCTATTGGTTTGGGCGGTGTTTCCCAAAGGGGGGTGCTACTACTCCCTCCCCCAAATACATGTTTCAAATTATATAAATGGTCGTAGATAACGTCGTCTTTTTAGCTTCTTCTGTGTACCTTATGTTTGTGTTGCAACGATGTATTTCTGAACCAGCCGTAACGCGTCAAACCAAATGAAGTTAAAGTCAAATGGATTAAAACATGCAATATACAGGTCAATCTGACTGTTAGCTAATTGTGCTCTATTGTTGGAGCACTTGGTGCTGAATAACTGCGAACAAAAAATTTTAGTTCACATATTTGTATTGTCCACGAACCCAATGCCCCCGATGAAGTGAGAGTATTCGCGCGACGTTTCTACTGCTAAATACATGTCTGGGTGCCTTTAAAACAGGCGGCGCAAAAAAGGCTGCAAAATTTCGTGTGCGCCAAGTTTAGAAACAGGAGGCTTTGGACTCTTCAAAAGGGCACGGCCAGGAACTGCAAGGAATTGTCTTGTCCAAACATTGCTACCATGACAACCATGAAAAACAGCTTACGGGACTACCACTATACGACATATTACCAACAAGACAAAATCCTCCCCCCCCCCCCCTCCCCTCCCACTCTTAGTGCAAAGGAACCTCAGTACTAGCGTTAACGCTTCACAAGGCGAAAATGAAACCTACTTTCAGACAGAAGAAAACAGACGTACAGAAACTACATGCTTCATGCGCCAATTAAAACTGCTGCTTTGTTGTAAATATCTCAAGCGTCCTCCGATAACTCAATTTGGTTAGATCGTCTGCCTTCCGATTTACACAACGGTGATGGCGTGGGTTCCACATAGCTGTGGCAACGTGGGTTCGAGTCGCTTTAGGTGCTCACTTTTTTATCTTGACAGCTACGACCTGCGGCTGGTGGAAACGACGGCGCAGATCAGGTGACATCAGAGGGTTGGGCAGGCCGTGCCGAGCATTGCGGTGCACCGAACTTTTGCCAACAAAATCTGCCGTTGACCTGAACTTTAACGATTCGATGGTGGGGGTCTGGTGGGGGTGCCGGGTCTGATCCCCGAAATCCATTCATTCAAAGGCTTCAGGCGTACAGATTATTTTTCTAATAAGCCTATGTTCTGCAGAAATACTTCCAAAACGGTAATTGATATAACTGCGCTGTGTACGAATTTATCTTAATCATGCAATCTTTTGTTTGGATCATGATTATTGAGTTCAGTAAAACAATGACAACTTGATGAACTTTAGGACTATCCTCTACCGACGCACCGCAAACGGCAGGTGTACTATATGAAGCCTCACACGCGGTCAAGAGGGAACATAAACGCTGAATTTGCTGTGCTGTCCGTAGCAACTAACAATGCATATGGATATATATATATATATATATATATATATATATATATATATATATATTTCCAACAAATTATAATGAGATTTGTCCAGGTCAACTTAAAATTAGTCGTATATATATACATATATATATATATATATATATATATATATATATATATATATACATGCTCGACAACTTATGTTCAGATTTGTCCAGATCAGCTACAAAATTAATTCTCAAAGGCCGCTTACAAAACGGTGTGGACTGTAATAGAGACGTCATTAACAGTAGCCTGGCTTACCGCAGAATCGCCTTTTCACTCGTTCGAGCCATTTGGTAAGCCACTCCGAGAACAACTCCTACTGAGTGTCTTTGGCCGAAGAATAGTTCGCTCCAACTGCTGTCAGATCTGATTGAAAGCAAGCATGCCGGGTCGAATGCTGCGATAATGACGCTGCCTAATAGCCCGCAATAGCTCCTTGGACAGTCGCTGCACGTACCTTGGACAGTCACTCACAGCTTCAAACAATTTATAGAAGCATTGCAACTTTAAAGCATTTCAACCATATGGCCAGTTTTTGCGTAAGCAGTGCATGTGCTTCCTTGCCCTGATTAAAAACCCAGACGACTTAGTATTTTAGTTGGCATCCATCCCATAAGGCTTAATGCGTTACATGCAGCCATCTGCAATTGGAGAAACGATCCCTTTTCCGTTCACATGACCTATGCGGTACATCTTATGCTTATATTACCATCAACAAACAAACCTAAATTGGTTAACAAATGTTTTTTTATAAGCGTGTTCCAAACGACGCATGTGCGTGCGTAGCGCGAGAAGATTATTTCTTAAGAAGCCATAGTAATTTTGCACCAGCAAAGCCACGGTAGTACAAAACGCAATTATTGAGTATTGCAGAGGGTTATATATGTCTTGCCGTTTCTGGTGGTTCACATGTCTTTCTTCCCTTGACTCGTAACGATGTCGATGACTCCCACCTCCATCTCATGAGAGCCCCTGTACAAATACAACGCTCTCTGTTCAGGTTAAACAAGGACGTGCCTCTGTCAGTTAGTGTTTATTTTGCACCTTCTGCCATCTCGGTTTCCGTAGCTTGGGCAGCTCGTAGCTCGGGTAGCTCGTAGCTCGGGTAGGCATCTTCGTAGGCACTGCAGATGCCCACATGTGATCTGGAGTCTGTGAGTCATTGTTATCATGTCAGTCAGCACTCTCCAGCAGATCGTCAAAAGAATCGCCTTTGGTACACTGCTTTGGTGACACAACATGCCTCATGCGCAGCCGATATGTATACCGATCGACATCGTGGAAGGCAGTTCGCCCCACCCCAAAATTATTGGCAGACGCCAAACTTGTTGCGGTATAGGGGGGCACATGCAATTCACTTCACTCAGAAAAGCAGTCATATTAGTCTGGTTACCGTGTGGTTGTACATTCGTTTGCCGTAGTACCTGGCTTATACTTATACCGTGGCTTACATTTTTTGCAAATTTTCAACAGTAAAAGGGTTCTCAATAAGCTGGATCTCATGTCGTTGGTGTGCAGAAAGACAATGGTCGCCAATGGTAGTCTCAGCAAATTACAAAAACAGTTATTTTTTTCTTCTAGGACGCGCTCGTTAAATCATAGCTGAATGTGTCTTTTTCAGTCGTCACTATACGATACATTTTCACCCCTACCCTCACATATCAAACATGTTATACCATGCAGAGAACCAGACGTCAGATATATACCTTTAAAACCGACATGCACGCATAACAAACTCGCTTACCGGATGGACACACAGGTTGTGAGAAAGACGACCGAACTAAATTGTGTTTCATAGTAGGTCGGTTTTGCCATGCTATACGAACACTAAGATCACAACTTTTCACAATCGATTTTATCTTTACACACAAAGCTTCATCCAGATACAGTAACGTACGATAGTCGTCCATGTCTTGATCTCGTTGGCCTTGATGGTGTTTCTGCTTATGATGACGTTGATGTTTTCGTTGATATTAAAATATTTTCACTGCTGTTATTTTTCTCGGCGTTGTTTATCCAATGGAAGTTGTTGTGCGGCTTCGCGATGAATGCGACGTACAAGCTGTTTGGAGTAGCCGTTGCTTCGGACAGGTTTCGCATTTTTACATGACCGGCTTGTTGCAACGGTATTTGAATACATTTTCATCGCGCGGCATTTTCATTTTGTCGCCACAGGATGGGCTGATGTGTTACGGATCATGATTCCGGAATGGTTCGGCTTAATGAAGAGTCGTGTTGAAAATTTGAAGTTTGGATCGACCGCACGGCCGTCCCCAGGAACGCAAGCTGCCTGGACCCGGGGCAATACAACACCGGGTACTCCAAAGTTTTGACTAGTAGGTATCGACACATACTAAAGTATATCAGAATCGGTATTAACGCCAGATTTAGGATGTTGTACCAAAAGTTGGCAGTGCTGTGCTACCGGCATCTTTGGTTTGTTTGTGGCGATGAAGTGCAATCACATTTCTCAGTCGCAAAACACTTGAATTGTGGTGCGTTATGGGGGGTGGTGGTTGGGAGATGATATCGTGTTCATGTAATTTCAGATGCCTCTGGGCTAATCAGATGTATGTTGTTCTCTGCCAAGTCATATTATGTCTCAGTTTACATATAATGACTCATTTAAACATTCTGCAGCAAAACTGATAATGTAATGATTCAGTTACTGCACAATTTGCCAGTTATGAACGCTGTGGCCTAGGCTACCGGCTGTTGAATGCTTGTGGAATGCTGCATGCAAAGTGATTGGCCAAGGCATGCTCAGGTACATTTATGTTGGAGCTAAGGGTCTTGTTATTTTTTAATACATGAATATTGAGATTGTTGTCTGATTGGCATTCGAATATTCCACATAAGCATTGATAGCCTTTGTCCACAGTGGCATTACCACCCATGAAATGGGCCAACCAGTAATTATGTTAGTTCGGCACAGCTGTGTGATTGCATTAGATGTGTCTATTGAGACATGAAAGGCACTATAATGTAATGGAAATGTTTGGTGTGCTGCAATGTTGTGCAGATATGTGGTATGCCATTTCACCAAAGGAGTTATCTGCCCGCACTGTTTAGAAAAGGTCATGTTATGTCAAAAATTGTCTGAGTTTTCTGGCATAATTTGACATATGCAAAATCATAAGTTATGTCTTTTCCAGATCAGAAAAATCAATGTGTGTGGCATATTGGTGGGCTGTGCTGAGGGCAACCCCACCTCACCTCCACCTACTGTGTGTTTTTCATTGTGTCTGGGCACCTCATTTTGGTTTAAGGCTATTTAAAGTTGTAGTTTTGTGTCTTTCCTTCAAAAGTCCAGCCAATGTCATCAAGTAATGCCCAAAGCAGGTCGTCAAGATGTGATAGTCACTTTTACCTTAGTTTGTTTTGTAATATTCTAGCAACAATATGGGAAGGGCAAGCCAACATTTGCTAGTGCATTTCAACATTGTTGGAGGAGGCCACCATCACAAAATGCAGTCACTCCATGCAACTGCATGCAGCATAAACCTGGCATTGAACAAGAACCTGTGCCTGGGAAATTTATCCAATGTAAGCAGCAAATGTTGTAGTTAATGTATTTAATGGGTGCATTGGTTTGTGTTGTACCTGAATTGTATGGTTTGTCAGCAAGATAGATGATCTTTATGATTTATCACAAGTCTCATGCTGAAGTAATTAGATCAAGTAGGGTACAGGGTTATCAAATTAATTGTAGCATTATAGAATGTCTGCTCATGCAAGAGAAGTTTTCAGATTTGTTGCATTTATAGAAACTGATGTTTTGTGTTAAATATTACAATATTCTGAATGCTAGTTGTAACCTTGTCCTCAGCACTGTATCTGTTACACATCATTGCATAATTTATATCAACACAATTTCTTTGTAATAATATGAGCAAATGTTAAGTACAAGGTGGTACATAAATATTATATCAGTACATGTTGCATGTATGTAAAAATGTGCATAGCTGGGGCATGGTTTGGGGCAATCTAAGGTCCATTGATAGTTTGTATTGCCTTGGGCCAAGGCTGCATATGTTTCAGATACTGATGCACCTTCTAAGTCTGTCTAAGCTGCCCATTTCACTTCAGCTGCTTAGGTGTACCTTTCCTACTCAGAGGTCAATGGATGAAAGGTAAAGTTATAAATTACAAGGCCTGAGGAATAAAAAAATGTCATATTGAAGTTTCAAATATTTATTTTGCAGGTCTTGTGATGTGAAAGCAAGATTTTCAGGTTTATTTATTCAGTGGAGCCAGTGATAATATGTTTGTGTTCACCTTATGCCAAAAACCCTTCATGCAAATGGCTTACGGGAGCATGGTTACTTAGGCCATCGGCCTGTCAGGTGTTTAAACTCTTCAAGATCAACCAAAGAAGTTTTATAAATTTTGTCATATCAGGACCTTTGTGCAGTACAGATCACGATTATGGCACTTATCATTATAATGCTTACCATCCTGCTTGTAAGCACGACTGCTTCCCAATCAGCGGTGCTTGCGATGTTACTGTGCCATCGTTGCTACGCTGGTCCTGAGGCGGCATTGCCGGCCCTGCACAGCAGTCGCCGCCAGCATCGCAACTTAAGAACCTAACACAGTGCCTGGTCCTACCTCTGGGCGCGTTGGATGGCCAGCCCTGGACCGCTACCGTCGCGATAGGTTCCATGCGTCAGGCGCAATAATGTTATGCGCCCCAGCCATAGGCTGTTGCATGTAGCCCGACGGCTGCATAACACCTGTCAGGTATACCTGATGGATATAAAAAGATATCGTGTGTATTTCTTGTAATATCTTGCAGCATATTTCACAGCACAGCAGATGCATTTTTGGGCTATACATAATACGCATATATATGCATACGATGTATATATATATATATATATATATATATATATACGTTTATATATAATCAGAACAATGTTGCACTCAATAGTTCTAACGCCAGTTAGTTGCCGTATTCACTCCGTGTTCCATCTCAACCCCTCTGAAGAGTTGACGGCAGCGGGATTCGATCCCACGCCCGGACATCGTGGGGCGTGCGTGGGTCTGCGCTTTGCCCGATAGCCCGAGAATGAGTGCCACGGCGCACACTTTTGATCTTGGAAATCGAAAGAGAATTGTTCAAGCTTTATTTCTATGCACTTTTTATGCATATACATGTTCAAGATTTAGAAAGCCGTGGGCCTGAAGAAGGTCGTTTTAACATGGGAACCCCATGGCTAGTTGTGAAATGTGCGCCGTTGCTGCCATATTTTATACTAGACGACCCCCGGCCTGGACCCACCCAACTCTACTCAACTCTACCCAACTCTACTCGGTTCTACCCAGCTCTACTCGACTCTACTCAACTCTACTCGGCTCGGCACCGCTCCCAGTCGGGCCAGTACTTGTCCTTCATACGCTCGTGGTATTGCACCAGAGCGTCGTAGTTAGCGCGAACGTAGCGCTCCACCTCAGGTGCGCAACCGTATATGACTTGGGTCAGCACGGCGAACACAGCCGCGTCGTACGTGGTAGGCTTGTTGTCCAGCAGGAACGGCTTGTCGCCGAGTACATCTTCCAGCGCTCGCAACTCACGATACAGGAAAAACATCGCCTCCACCTCGCTAAAGCGGCCCATGCCTATGATGTAGAGTATACGCTTCAATCTTGAGAAGAATATGGGCATCATGAGCCTGAGCATGAACCGATACTTCTTGGAGAAACACCCCATGATGTAGGAACAGCGGTCGATAACATAGCGTTTATAGCCCACGGCCGTAATGGCGTGCTCGTCGAGCATCACCTGCACGGCACGTCCGACGGCATGCTCAGCCGGCGTGAGCTTTTCCTTCAGAGGTTTTCCGAAGTGTTGCGTCAGAAAGTCGATGATAAGCTCCGAGTCGGACAGCTCCTGCCCGTTGAAGGTGATCCAAGGACACTTGTCACGGGACCCCTGTGGCTCGTCCGTGTCCACCACGTACTTGATGCCGGCCATGCGCAGGAACGTCTCCAGCTTGAGCGCGAACGGCGACAGGTTGGGACAGTTGGTGCCACGTTCGAACTGGTGCAGCACCACCACGTCCTTCCCGGCCTGGTTCCAGCGCTGCCGGCGCTGGTAGCGCCTGTAGCGGCCGTACACTTTGAGGCCGATGCCGAGCAGGGCGGCGCCCAGCAACACCTTGCCCACGCGACGGCCGCTCTCGCCGCGTGCGCACTCGGACACACCGCTCCACACGGCACCAGGGCGGAACGCCGACATTGCTGACCGGTGCACCATCGTGCGTCAACTAGTGCGGACTGGCTCGGGTCCACAGGCGGCCACCAGATGGCATGCGACGTCAGGCACTGGAGGTCGACTCCCGATAGCTGCGCGCCAGGCGTGACTGCAAACGGCCTTGGGGGACGGCGTAGTCGTGCCATGAGAACAGCAGGGTAAGGATTCAAGAAGTGTGGGAGGGAGGCGGGGGTTAGATTCGGAGTATTTTTACTGGGAAGCCGGCCCGATGAACGGGGAGAGGGAGGAGCTAGAGACGCAGGACATGGTCCCTCTAAATTGATACCACACATTTTGGAAAGACTGAAATGTCATGGTTTGATGCTACATATACATCTACAGCGGTTTCCCACTGGTGTACAATCTTGGCTATTTGGCTCATCTATGCTATTCGGCAAATAAGGCTATCCAGCTTCCTAAGATTATTTGTTTATTTCAAAATTGTTTTCTCGAGAAAGGTGGAATTGCTCGAGCGGGTGGAAATTTTGGGTCATTGTAGAACCATCTGCCTCGTTAGGGTCGACACCAAAATGCAGCCTGGGCGCAGCCTGATACCCTGGGAGCAAATACGACTTCTATTTTGCCGTGACAACGAGGAGCGACTCTTTTTTGCAACATGGCATGCAATTTGGCAAGAACGTCACCTTAACCTTAACTAGGCTCTTTTTCAAGCCCTTTGAGGCCCTTTGTGAACTTTTGGTTTTCCAGCAGGTGCTTTCGTCGCTAGCCATGGTTGATAGATTGCACAAAATTGCCAGCATTTTTAAAAGCTGATTATTCAGGGTCTTCCACGTGCCTGACTCGCTAGCGCTCTCGCCAGGTGACTTGCGCAGCAGGTCGTCCCAGTACCTTCACACGGCCGGCCGGTCATCCATGTTACCTTACTTTACACGCTCGAAGCCTCAGTCACGAAGCCATTACAGCTATGTCTGACATGGTACAACGACAAATCTGCAAAACTGGAACATTTAGCCTCACCGTACTGAAGATTGGTTATCGGATGGAGATGTGCCTGAGCAACAGTTTTTTTACGAAGTGCACATTATTCAGAGTAAAACTCAAGGGTACCCAAAGGAGGTGGGACAAAATGGCCCACCGGCAGCCGTTCTTTTTATGCTATGCCTGCAGCAGCAAGGCGGCGCGAAAAAGACTGCATAATTACGCTTGCGTCAAGTTTAGAGACAGGAAGTTTTGGACTCCTCAAAGGGGCATGGCTGTAAACTACAAGGAATTGCCTTGTCCAAACATTGCTACCATGAAAACCATGAAAAAACAGCTTGTGAAACTACCACTAAATATGACCAAAACATATACGAAAATATACGAAATATGACCAAAAGACAAAATCTCTCCCCCCCCCCCTCCCCCTCCTCCTCCCACTCTCAGTGTAAAGGTACCTTACTACTAGCGTTAACGCTTTATAGGGCGAAAATGAAACCTACTCTCAGACAGAAAAGACAGACGTACAGAAACTAAATGCTGCATGCACAAATTAAAACTGCCGCTTTGTTGTAAATATCTCAAGCGTCCTCCGATAACTCAATTTGGTTAGAGCGTGTGCCTTCCGATTTACACAACAGTGATGACGTGGGTTCCACATAGCTGTGGCAACGTGAGTTCGAGTCGCTTTAGGCGCTCACTTTTTATCTTGACAGCTATGACCTGCGGCTGGTGGAAACGACGGCACAGGTCAGGTGACATCAGAGGGTTGGGCAGGCCGTGCCGAGCATTGCGGTGCATGGAACTTTTGCCAACAGATTCTGCCGTTGACCTGAAATTTAGCGATTGGATGGCGGGGGCCTGGTAGGGGTGCCGAGTCTGATCCCAGAAATCCATTCATTCAAAAGTTTCAGATTATATTTCTAAAAAGCGCATGCTTTGCAGAAATACTTCCAGAACGGTAATTGTTGTATCTGCGCTATGTACGAATTTATCTTAAACATGCAATACTTTGTTTAGATCATGATTATTGAGTTCTGTAAAACGTTGAAAATTTGATGAACTTTAAGACTATCCTCTACCGACGCACAGAGAAAACGACAGGCGTACTATACGAAGCCTCATACGCGATCAAGAGGGAACGTAAAAGCTGAATTTGCTGTCCGTAGCAATTAACAATGTATATATATATATATATATATATATATATATATATATATATATAATATATGCCAACGTACTCAAAAAATCATGTTCAGATTTGTCCAGATCAGCTAAAAAATTAAAACTTAAAGGCCGCTTACAAAACGGTGTGGACTGTAAGGGAGACGTCATTAACAATAGCCTGGCTTACCGCAGAATCGCCTTTTCACTCGTTTGAGCCATTTGGTAAGCTAGTCCGAGAACAACTCCTACTGAGTGTCTCTGGCCGACGAATAGTTCGCTCCAACTGCTGTCCGATCTGATTGAAAGCAAGCATGCCGGGTGGAATGCTGCGATAATGACGCTGCCTTATAGCCCGCAATAGCTCCTTGGACAGTCGCTGCACGTACATTGGACAGCCACTCACAGCTTCAAACAATTCATAGAAGCATTGCAATTTTAAAACATTTCAACCATGGGGCCAGTTTTTGCGTAAGCAGTGCATGTGCTTCCTTGCCCTGATTAAAAACCCAGACGACTGAGTATTTTAGTTGGCATCCATCCCATAAGGTTAAATGCGTTACATGCAACCATCCGCAAATGCAGAAACGATCCTTTTTCCGTTACACATGACCTGTGCGGTACATCTTATGCTTATATTACCATCAACAAACAAACCTAGATTGGTTAACAAATGGTTTTGCTGTTTAATTAGCGTGTTCCAAGCAACGCATGTGCGTACATAGTGCGGGAACATTATATCTTAAGAAGCCATAATAATTTTGCACCAGTAAAGCCACGGTAGTTCAAAACGCATTTCTGGGGTATTGCAGGGGGTTATATATGCCTTGCCGTTTCAGGTGGTTGACATCCATTTCTTCCCTTGACTCGTAACGATGTCGATAACTCCTACTCCCATCTCATGGGAGCCCCTGTACAAATACAACGCTCTCTATTAAGGTTAAACAAGGACGTGCCTTAGTCAGTTAGTGTTTATTTTGCATCTTCCGCCATCTCGGCTTCCGTAGCCCGGGTAGCTGGTAGCTCGGGTAGCTCGTAGCTCGTGTAGGCATCCTCGTAGGCACTGCAGATGCCCATATATGATCTGGAGTCAGTGAGTCATTGTTATCATGTCAGTCAGCAATCTACAGCAGATCGTCAAAAGAATCGCCTTTGGTACACTGCTTTGGTGACACAACATGCCTCATGCGCAGCCGATATGTATACCGATCGACATCGTGGAAGGCAGTTCGCCCCACCCCAAAATTATTGGCAGACGCCAAACTTGTTGCGGTATAGGGGGGCCCATGTAATTCACTTCACTCAGAAAAGCAGTCGGATTAGTCTGGTTGCCGTATGGTTGTACATTCGTTTGCCGTAGTACCTAACACTCTACCGATTGCTAGAGCTTTCAGCAATATAGGAAGAAACGCTTTGCTCGCCCACCCCAAAACGAAGACACCCGGAAGAACACTAAAGGATTCATGGCACTGCAGTACCCTTTAGTGCACTTTGTCTGTTTTAGTTGCCAAGTCGCTTAAGACCGGCATCTGTTGCATAAATTCAAAGAAAACCCCCTCGATACTCCTAGGACACGATGCAACTCACCCCACTCTCCCCTACGTTACATGGTATGTTTTATCAAAACAATAGGTTGATGGAGTCATTAAGGTCAGTGGCCTACTCTGAACTTTGAGAATTCCAAAAAAGATGCCTGCTGACGTCCCCATGATCAATATATTTGAAATGAGCATTCAAAAGTACTCCTAAGCGCAAATTCCCCAGTGAAAAAATTGTTTGGTTTTCACCTCTGTTTTACCTTGATATCTGACCCAGGGCCAATAAAACTTGTAATCCTGAATTCAGTTGGCTAGCTGTGTAAAAAGCCGTCTTAGAAATGCATAGCTTGGTCTGGCATTCTGATGTCGCATTTGATGGCAAATTACATTACAAAATTATGAACTAAATTACACAACATGGCAAAACGTTCTGGGTGAGTGCAATTGATCCTCCCTAGGCCCTGCGGCCGACTCCTTCAGTGCGACCGCCTTCGATGCATCGTAGGCAAAGGCCGGTATCGTTGAAAGCATGATACCAGCATCTGCTCATCTGATAGAATTGTAGCTCGCAGCTCGTGATTCTAAAAGGGCGATACCCGAAAATCGAGCATCTACCGTCAACTTTGTGCAATTTGACCTAATTTGTCCCAGGTGATAAGGTGTGGTGTGGTGCCCAAAAACCCAGCAGCACTTATATTTAAAATTCGTCTCTGCGAGTGGAACCAAACTTGTCGGACAGCACGAGTCTAGTGTCATCACAAAATGCTCGAAAAACGTGCAAGGCCGCCGACACAGATTTCTTTGGTATGAAAAAGCTGCTCTGCATTATTCGCCACAGCCAGCTTGCTGGTGCGTCGTGGGCAAGGAGTAGCAGCGTTGAAAAGGTGATAGCCGTTTTCAAGATGGATTAATGCACCCAAAGCTCTTTTTTAATTTTATCAAATGCTTCCGTCCAGTTTTAGTATGCATTAAGCACTAAGAGTTTCGGCGATCTGCTTAATTAAGTATATACGGGATATTTTTCAGTAAGTAGCATCTTTAAATGAATTTTCGGTCAGCGACATTGTTCGCAAAATCGAAAAGTCCGAGTATAAAGCGGATACCAGATGCTAGCCAGTGGTGACATTGGTCTCCCCACCATACACGCCATGAAAAGGCACACACTGCCCACTCTTTGGTAGAACAAATCACAATATATCGCAGGCGATAAGATGCAGCAGCTTTGTACAGATGGAGACAACGTTATTCTGCAGGACACAATGTTTATGTTTCGTATGAGTTTCAGTTAGCGTATGTGCATCGATATACAAATTTCCCAATAAGGTCGCGTTTATTTTTTGCAAATTTTGAACAGCCAAGGGGTTTTCAATATGCTG